AAAAGCATTTTTTGTTTAGAAAAAAGAAAGACACTGTTACCCCGATGATAATCTAATTCTGTTTTGTAAGACGATCATTCCATCAGGTTTCCAATCATCTTTAGGAGATCCAAAATCCGTCTCGAATTTAGCTGATAGTATGCATTTTTTTATTAGCTAAGCCATTGCCTAGATGAGTCTATCCAACTTTGTGTGCAAGGCCGAAAGGTTTCCTCAACTCGTTTGCATTTAAGTAATAATCTATCTTATAGTAGGGCCGGGCCTGAGAATTTAAGAATCACAAGAAAAAAACAGTTTTTGGGTCAATAATAATTAATTTTTTTAAGGAAAAAAAATTAAACAAAATGATCAATGGGTGAATCGAATCTTTCACTCGTATCTTCCCCTGAAAAGTCTCCCCTGAAAAGTCTCCGGTATATCATCTACAAAGTCTCCGGTGTAATCCACCATCTCTCTCTCTGTCCTCATACGAACAAAAAAACTGACGCCGTTGCCGTCGACGAACAGGCCGATTTGACTAAGTTGGATGATTAATTCGTCCATTTTAACTTGATTCTCCGCAGATTTGTTCTTGCTCATGTCATGGATTCTTCTTCATTGTTAGTATTACGATTACGATTACTCTCTCTTTGGTGTTTATTTTTTCTTCGGGCGTTGACTAAATTCCGTCTTCTTGTTTTCAGAAAGGGTTCTCAGCTTGGGAAGCTTGTGCTGAGCTCGGGTCTCTTAGACATCTCATGGAGCAAGATCTCGGAGTTACATGCATCATCATCAACCAATCTGAATAAAGATCCAGGTCTTGTTTACAAGATTTTCTATGAAGCGAACCACACCTTTGTGGTTTTCGTGGCACCACCGATTCGCAGAAACAGCTATGATTCTACTCGTCTTGATGAGTCACAAGATCTAAATCCGTTTCGTTTCTTGTGCTCAGAGAAGTTCTTCTCATTCTCTGTCTACACTCCTGCTTTCCAGCTATTTTCCTCTGCCTACGACGATCTCTATGGGCTCAAATCCGAGGTAATGAAATTCCATTCAGTAAACCTCCAAGACAAATCAGAATCTTGAAAGTTATATCTATCTTGCAGTTACTCATGACTAAGAAAATGGTTATCATCACCGGAGCTGCATTAGGAGGATCTGTCGCATCTCTCTTTACACTATGGCTTCTTGAAGCTAAAGGCCCAAGGCAAAAAAAACCCTTGTGCATCACATTTGGCTCGCCTTTAATCGGAGATGCTTCTCTGCAGCATATTCTAGAGACTTCGATGAGGGAGTCATGTTTCCTTCACGTAGTCGATGCTGCACAAAGTCCCATCACAGCGGGTTTCGAGCCTTTTGGAACGTTCTTGATATGTTTTGATTCTGAATGTATTTGCATCAATGACCCCGAAGCTGTCGTGGAATTGCTAGTCGGTCATACTACAGATCGAATAGACTGGATAGACTACGGCGAAATTCTACAGCGCCTGATTCATTCCTCAATGGCGGATTCAAGACCGATGAGCATGATTGATGATGTTTTTGATCGAATGGAGGAGCGTACGGCGAAGAAGAAGATGTTGAATGCTGACCTGGTTAAGAGAATAAACGCACTGAAGATACAAATGGTGTACATGGACTACTACAGAAAGTTAGGCAAGAAGAACAAAATTGGTTATTACGATCACTTCAAGACCCAAATCGAGTTTCCAACAATGGGCATTTTCAATGTTAAAAATCTAAAAAGAAGTCTAGATGAATACTGGAAATCAGTGGTTGAAGATGCAGAGGAGATTAGCAAAACATGGATTTTCAAGAGTCAGTTTATCCACTCTGGGGCCAATTACAGACGATTGATCGAACCGCTCGACATTGCTGAATATTATCTCAATGGCGGGAAAGATTATCGAACCCTGGGAAGGTCTCACCACTATGTTATGCTGGAGAAATGGTTTGGAAACGTAACGATGAAACCGAATAGGGGTGGAGGGAGCGATTTGAGTGAGCTTTTAACGTTTGATTCTTGCTTCTGGGCTGAAGTTGAGGAAGCTCTGATTGTAATCAATATGCTGAAAACACACGCGGGGATGAAAGACGAGGAGTTAAACTTATTGGTGGAAAAACTCGTGAGGTTTGAGGAATACGTGTGGAATATGATAAAAAACCGTGAGGTTTCACCGGATATTTTCTTGGAGAGAAGCAGCTTCATGAAGTGGTGGAAAGAGTACAAAGAGATCAAAGGAAGTGATGAGTTTAATTCTTCATCTTCACCATTCACCAAGTTTATGAACACTGGGATGTACCAGAGTTATGGTTAGTAAAAAATTTGTTAATATGTTTACATTGCACATTAATAATGCCTTTTAACTCAATAGATGATTGTGTACTTTTTCGGAAATTTAGTTACCAATTTCTTCTCGTTACTACCAATTTTTTAGGTTTGCCCTCTCCAAACCTGGGGAACGACATTAGTGGTTCAGCTACAGGACCACCTCCCGGTCCCAGTGATAGACTGAAGAGCTCCGTTGACAAGGAGGAAGGCCAGAAGGTCCGTCGGAGTTCGTTTTCTAGATCGATCAAATATTTCTTGCTTCATTGTACCATAAAAGTTAGAACTGGTTATTTGCAGGTAGTTCATTTGAAACTTCATCTACGTAATGATGAGGAAACAACTAAGGCCCTTAACACAATTGCTAAGATCTCAGGTAAAAATAAAAGTTCTGTATAACTGATAATTGATTCTTGATTGGAGCTTCTGTTGGTCTAGTCTAGTTCTGGTTTGGCCAGATGTAGGGGAAACTGAGGAATGACTCTCTCACAAATAGTATAATACAGTAATGAACAATCTCGAGTCAGTCTGACATATTCATTTCTTTTCTTAAGAGAAGAATAAAATTGGTGCCATTTAGTAAATTGTAACTGTGGTTTGAATTTTGGAATTAAACTTATAGTCATTATAAATGAGCTTCTAGGCATCGCAGATTGGAACAGTTTAGTTGATAGACAAGCAAAATATTTTTTGAGTGTATATTGCTTATTTGATTGTACTTTGATACCCGCGCTTTTACAGATGCTTTAATGTAATGTCTTATATTGTTTTCGAGTTTAGGAGTCTCTTCTGTAGTTGCGGATGGGTACGAGAGGTTTAGTGTGACTTGGAATGGGACAATGGATCCAGTAGAGCTAGTGAAAGAGCTGAGTAAATACTGGCCGGCTGAAATAATTAGTGTTGGTTCCAGTAAGAAGATCCAGCGACAGAAGGAAAGTAGTGAGGAAGCACTGTTAGTACTCTCTTTTCGTTCCTTTTATTGTCTCTAATCTTCAACAATTTCCTGATGAAAATAGTGTTCTTCAGACGTTGACTAAATTCCTTCTCCTTGATTTTAGAAAGGGTTCTCAGCTTGGGAAACTTGTGCTGACCTCGGGTCTCTTACAAAGCTCATGGAGCAAGATCTCGGAGATACATGCATCAACATATCCGAATCAAGATTCAGCTCTAGGATTCAAGATCTTCAGAGAAGCGAAATGCACATTTGTGGTTTTCGCGACACCACCAATTTTCAGAAACAGCTCTTTTAACTCTGCTTCTACTCTTCTTCCTAGGACACAATATCCAAATCCGTTTCCTTTCTTGTGCTCCGAACATATCTCCTCATTCTCTGTCCACACACCTGCTTTTGAGCTATTTACCTCTGCCTATGAAGACCTCTCCATTCTCAAAGACGAGGTAATTATATTACAGTCAGTAGCTTTTTGATGCTCTGTTATCTGTTTATATATTCTGATTTTCAAGTCAACAACTTTATGACACAAGGTTTTCAAAATTACAAGACAAATTACAATCCTAAAAGTTATCTATCTTGCAGTTACTCCAGTCTAAGAAACCAGTGATCATCACCGGAGCTGCGTTAGGAGGATCGGTTGCATCTCTTTTTACGCTCTGGCTTCTAGAAACAGTCGATCCACGACAAAAACATCTCTTATGCATCACATTTGGCTCGCCTTTAATCGGAGACGCTTCTCTGCAGCAGATTCTAGAGAATTCCGTGAGGAATGCATGTTTCCTTCACGTGGCTGATCCTGCACAGACTGCTATCACGGCGGGTTTCAAGCCCTTTGGAAAATTCTTGATCTGTTTTGACTCCGGCTGTATTTGCATTGAGGACCCTGAGGCAGTCATGGAGCTGTTAACCGGTGTTAATACAGATCTAGTAGACTACGGTGAAGTTCTACATCGTCTGGGCCAATCGGTGTTGTCTATGGCTGATCCAATATTGATCCCTGATGATGTTATCGATCGAATGGAGGAGCGTGCCAAACAAAAGAAGCTACGGCGTTTTGATCCGTCTAAGAAACTAAAGGACATGAGGACATCGATGTCATATATAGAGTGGTACAAAAAGAAAAGCAAGGAGGAGAAGATTGGTTACTACGATCGGTTCAAGACCCAAACTGTGTCTCCCACTTCAGAGTTTGATATTGATATCAAGAAGTGCAAGAAAGAGCTAAACGATTACTGGAAATCGCTGGTTGAAGAACTAGAGAAGAAGCCTCAGAGTGATTTATTGATTCTCAGCGGACGGTTTCTGTTCTCGGGGAACAATTACAGACAGTTGGTCGAACCGCTTGATATTGCTGAATATTACATCGAAGGAGGGAAAGAGTATTTGGTTAGAGGAAGGTCTCGCCACTATGTTATGCTCCAGAAATGGTTTCAGGAGGAATCGCTAAAACCGATTAGAGATGAAAGGAGAGATCTGAGTGATCTTTTAATGTTTGATTCTTGCTTCTGGGCTGAAGTTGAGGAAACTCTGATTGTAATCAATTTGCTGAAAAGACAAGTGGAGATCATTGGAGATGACAAGAGAGAGTTATTGATCAGAAAACTCGTAAGGTTTGAGGAATACGTGTGGAATATGATAAAAAACCGTGAGGTTTCACCGGATATTTTCTTGGAGAGAAGCAGCTTCATGAAGTGGTGGAAAGAGTACAAAGAGATCAAAAGAAGTGACCCGTTTAATTCTTCATCTTCACCATTCACCGAGTTTATGAACACAGGGATGTACCATTGTTATGGTTAGTAAAAAAGTTGTTAATATGTTTACATTGCACGTCAATAATGCCTTTTGACTCGATGGATGATTGTGTACTTTTTAGGAAATTTAGTTACCAATTTCTTCTTATTACTACCAATTTTTAGGTTTGTCCTCTCCAAACCTGGGGAACGACATTAGTGGTTCAGCTACAGGACCACTTCCCGGTCCCAGTGATAGACCGAAGAGCTCGGTTGACAAGGAAGAGGGCCAGAAGGTCCGTCAGAGTTTGTTTTCTAGCTCGTTCAAATATTCCTTGCTTCATTGTACCATAAAAGTTAAAACTGATTATTTGCAGGTAGTTCATTTGAAACTTCATTTACGTGATGATGAGGAAAAAACTAAGGCCCTTAGCACAATTGCTAAGATCTCAGGTAATTTGTTTTGTTATTCCATTGACATTCTCCCGTAAAAATACAGTGATGAACAATCTCGAGTCAGTCCGACAGATTCATTTCTTTTCTTAAGAGAAGAATAAAATTGGCGGTAGTATCTTAAAATTGGTGCCATTTAGTAAATTCTAACTGTGGTTTGAATTTTGGAATTAATCCTATGTCATTATAAAGGAGCTTCTTGGCATCGCAGATTGGAACAGTTTAGTTGATATACAAGCAAGAGATTTTTGAGTCTATAACAGTTATTTGATTGTACTTCGATACCCGCGCTTTTACGGATGCTTTAATGTACTGTCTTATATTGTTTTCGTGTTTAGGAGTCTCTTCTGTAGTCGCGGATGGGTACGAGAGGTTTAGTGTGACTTGGAATGGGACAATGGATCCAGTAGTGCTAGTGAAAGAGCTGAGTAAATACTGGCCGGCTGAAATAATTAGTGTTGGCCCCAGTAAGAAGTTCGAGCGAAAGAAAGAAAGTAGCGAAGAGCGACCAAATAAGCAAATTGAATTGAGTGTTAAAACCCAAAAAATCAAGGATGAAGAGAGTGTTTTGTCTAGTGACTCGGGTTCAGGGTCCATCATCGCAACCGATACAGGTATATTAGTCTTTTCGTGCAATGGCAACGATGTGGACGAGACACTTTTCATCGAAGCCATCTTAAACGGGTTGCACAGACGAGAGGTCACACCTTTGAAATATAATTTATCCGGGAGAGAGAGCCTGGACCCGGAGATGCTTTACAGTAGTGTTGGTATCATGGTACTTTCAAATAGTTTTGCTCGTAGTAGTCAGTCCTTGGATCATCTGGTGGCAATCATGGAACACTGGAAGGCAAAACACCTTGTAATTATTCCTGTATATATTAAGGTAACACCTTCGGACATTTGTCGGTTGGAAGACTGGGTTGAAGCATCAGTACAGCTGCAGTATTTAAATTCCGTTCAGAAATGGAAGGCGGCTATGATTGAGTTGGCGTCCATCGATGGACATCAATGGGCAGAGCGGTAAATTGACTTGTCTTATTTGTCTCTTTACTATTTGTTCATTGTGGCAAGTGGCAACTGCTCCTCTTGGAGAAATACAATGTGCTCATTATTGTGGCAATGGGCAGAGGAGTGTTTCTGACCGGTGTGGTGTTAATTTGACATTTCCATTTTCTGTTTTCTTTTTGCAGGACTCAGTTTACGCTTGCTGAGGAAGTTGCAAGAGATGCATGGCTATATTTAAAAAATTGTAAGAATGTGGTGAGAATCTTAGCATTGTTAAAACACTCTCAGCCTTCAGACGCTGAGATTGTGGGAATCTGGGGTATGGCAGGAATAGGTAAGACATCCATTGCTAGAGAAATATTTGGAATTCTAGCTCCAGAATATCATTCGACCTGCATTCTGGAAGACTTTTATCTATTGTGTCAAAAAAAAGGACTGAGACAAATGCGTGATGATTTCTTCTCAAAAGTATTTGGAGAAGAAAACCTAAGTTCGTGTGATATAAAACCAAGTTTCATGAGAGAGTGGTTCCTCAACAAAAAGATTCTCGTTGTTCTTGACGGCGTGAGTAATGCTAGAGATGCAGAATACGTAGTTGGAGGGTTTGGCTGGTTTTCTCGTGGACACAGAATCATCTTAACCTCTAGGAGAAAACAAGTTCTTGTTCAGTGTAAGGCTGAAGAGCCATATGAGATCAACAAATTATGCGAGTTTGAATCTATCCGTCTCTGCAAACAATTTTTTAATGGAGGAAAAAGTGGGATCATCTCAGAGCTTATTTACTGCAGTAGTGGTATTCCATTGGCTCTTGAAGTTTTGGGTTCCTCTGTATCAAAAGAGCAGCATATAAAAAACATGAAGCTACATCTCCAAAGCTTGCGGATAAAACCTCCAATTCAGATGCAAGAAGCATTTGAGAGAAGCTTTGATGGACTAGATGAAAACGAGAAGAACATATTTTTGGATCTTGCATGTTTTTTCGGAGGGGAAAACAAAGATTATGTGGTGCAATTACTTGATGCTTGCGGGTTATTTACATCTTCGGGAATCTATAGTCTCATTGACGAGTCTCTTATTAGTCTTCTGGATGATAAGATAGAGATCCCTATTCCTTTTCAAGACATGGGTCGATTTATTGTTCAGAAAAAAGATGATAATCCATGCGAACGTAGTAGATTATGGGACTCTAAAGACATCATTGCTGTATTGACAAAAAATTCAGTAAGTAGACATGTTTTGTTTTTCAGTAACTTTCATGTCGTTAATTGGAATAGCTGATGTATGTGATCGTCTTTGTCAGGGAACAGAAGCAATCGAGGGCATCTTCCTGGATACGTCTGACTTGACCTGTGACTTGAGTCCTACTGTGTTTTGTGAGATGGACAGACTTAGATTGCTGAAATTCTATCGTTCCACCTCTGGGAAGGAGTGCAAGCTAAATCTACCACCTCAAGGCCTAGAAATTTTGCCTGATGAGCTACGGCTACTTCACTGGGAGCATTACTCTTTCAAATACTTACCTCAGAAATTTGATCCGGAGAACCTTGTAGAGATAAACATGCCTTATAGCGACATGGAGAAGTTATGGGAAGGGAAGAAAGTAAGTGTTTTGCATTATGGTATTTTAAGCCACTTACTTAACATGAATTTATAAGCTTGCATCTCATGAATCATTTTGGTTTTTCATGTTGTAAACAGAATCTCGAGAAGCTAAAGAAAATCAAATTGAGTCACTCCAGCAAATTAACTGATATCCTGGTGCTATCAGAGGCCCTCAACCTTGAACATATCGATCTCGAGGGATGTACTAGTCTTGTTGACATTAGCACATCTATTCCTCGTTGTGGGAAGCTTATTTCCATGAATATGAAAGACTGTTCTCATCTGCGAAGTCTCCCTGCCATGGTTGATTTGACTTATCTGAAGCTTCTTAATCTGTCTGGCTGCTCAGATCTCAAGGAGATTCAGGATTGTGCACCAAACTTGAAAGAGTTATTTCTAGCTGAGAGTGGCATAACAAAGCTTCCATTGTCAATTGCTAATCTCACTGAACTTGTTACGCTAGATCTGAAAAACTGCACAAGGCTTCAGCAACTGCCATCCAGAATAAGAAAGTTGAGATCTAAAATTGACCTGAATACCTCTGGCTGCACAAGTCTTCCGAGCTTTCCAGAATTCAAGGCATCAGTGATGATGCTTGAAGACTTCCTTACCCAACAAGGCATTTCTGTATATATTTTTTAGAACTTAAGAAAAATCAGAGCATGTTTTATTGTAATCTGGTGTTCTATTAAATTAATCCACGTATTATCCTAGTTAGATCGGTTTAACGGAACTGTTAACTGAGTCTAAGTCAATGCATGTTTTGGCAGTAAATTGGAAATTCATGTATGAAAATTTGAATTTTACTTTGTTCGTGTTTAAATTGGCACCGGGCTCACTGTGTCTAGTTCGGTTATGAATCAGACGCTTTTCCCTGATGTAGTTACTTTCTACCACCGTTCCCGCTGCGACAATTAGATTGGTGATAATATCCATCAGCTCAGGGAGTCTGCCAACCACTGGTCACGACCAAGGAGTTCTTGTTATTTTGTCTTCTATTTACTATCTTTGTAAGATTGGTATGCCACTTGGTCGAGATTTTTTTTTTCCAATTTTAGCTGCAATCCATGCTCAATTTTTTTGTCGATGCTGAAGTGAATGCTCGCACTCCAATTCTGTGATCTCAGTGGCTTAATATATTGCACACAGAAAATGGAAATAGGAAGCAAATTCTAAAAAGATCTTACAAAACTAGAGATTATTTTTCCCTTGCTGAAGTGAAAATATAATTCATATGCAATTGTGCGTTGTGCTTCAAACTTTTTTTTGACCCAAACAACAAGAAATCACCTATAACGTAAAGCACAAGTTTTTTTGTAATCCAATACAGAAGGCAAAATCTTGGCTTGGCCCGGCCCATATCCTTCCTTATCACCCAAGAAATATGGGTATCCCTTCAATTTCGAGAGCATTTTTTTTTGAGAAACGCCTTGGAAGTTGGAACCTTTAGGACCACCATGCTCTGTTTTGTCTTTGGAGATGAGACACAGTTGCTGTATCAAATGGAAACAAACCAGTCAACATCCAAGTATAAACTCAACGTTATATGCTTCAGTCATACAAGTAGACAGAGCTTTCTTTTCGACACAAGAAACGGTCTGAAAAGCAATGAAAACCCTCTTTTCAAGTTCCTATTAATGTAATTTTTTTTTTTTTTGAATTGAATGTAAAATTTATTCAAACAAAAAAAACGATAAGCATTCTACTACCTTTCGTCGTTTTCAAGAAGACCAAGGACCTCCAGTCTTGGAGCACAATCATTAGGGAATTTCATCTCTTCTTGTACCATTCCTTCTCTCATCACCTTGAGAGTGGGACCGATTTCCAATGTGCACAAAAGCTTGACTCGAAGTATGCTCAACAATGTCTGAAACCCGTATTCCCTGGATTCCGCGGGTGTTCTCATCAGGAGCATATAGCAAACTCATCCCACACCTTATCACCTTGCAGCATTCTAGTTTCCTTTCAGTTTCATCAGCAAGGTAGAATTCAAACGAGGCACTAGTAGGATGACATCTATTACTGTCATTACTCTCTTCAGTCCATCTGAAGACTGGCACATTACAGTTGTTATAACTGATAAACACATGGTCCGATCCAAGTTTCCGTGGTTCATGGCACGGTGATCCACATGACTCATTCCATCCTCCAAGACAGAAACTAAAGCTGATAGACTGACCGTTTTGATTCTTGAATCTGCACTTGCATCTTACAGATAAACGGTTGGCATGATGACCTTCATAATCTTTGAAGTTGACAACAACACATAGGGAAGCTCCGATAAATCTACTGTTACACCAGTGCGGAAGCAGGTCGGTTTCTAATGAAGATCCCATTCTCTGATGGCAGAACCATGAGGGTATCTCACTTCCTGGAAAACAAATAGCAACCAGAGGCTCCAGAACTAGTCCCTGCAATCGGTTACAAAGAAAAACCATTTAAGCAGTGCGTGTGATCAAGGTACCACCAAAACAAAAAAGCAAGTTTGTAACGAACCTTGTGACTATATTGAAGAGATGTCCTTGCCAGTAGCTGACTCTTGAGTTGGGCCTGAGCTACAATAGCTTCTTGTTCAGCTCGGTTCAGTTTGAAGCAATCCGTGAAAATGAAAGTAGTATGCATCCTCTCAGTTACTAGAGGAAGCGTCACTGGCTTCGCAACTTTTTCCAGAGAAACACATCCGTGAGCATCTACGTATTGTAGATTAGATGGAAGCAGAGGAAGAGAATTGAGCATCCGGCAATGCTTCAAGTCAAGCAACAACAGAGAATTTAGTTCTTCGATGCTTTCAGGTAGGGTCTCAATATTGTTTCTGCTTAAGCATAGACACCGCAATGAGTGGAAGGAGCTAAAGCTGTCTGCCAGTTTGTTGATATTGCAATTCGTGAGATAGAGGTCCGATACACGAGAGCTGCCTGAGGAATGCAACAATACTAACCCTGTCGAATCTTCGATGCTAGATCCACAGAACGAAAAAATCTTGAGTTTACGCAAACAAATCATTTCAGGTATTTGTTTAATGGACGTTCCATCCATAAGCAAAATCTCTAAGCATTTCATTTCCTCTTTGATGGGTGGAAGACTCTCCAGAGCTGAACAGCCAGAGAGAATCAGTTCTTGAAGAGACTTCAGCTTGTAAAGATCGATGGGAAGATACCTCAACCTGCGACAATCCTTTAGATTCAGCAAAATGAGGTTGCGAAGACTCTCGATATATTCAACAACTTGTACGATTGCTGAGCCTTCCAAATAAAGGGATTCAATATTTTCAGATATAATATGAAACTCGTGAAGTTTTGAGCAGCCACTGAGGATCAGAGTCTTGAGAGATTTTAAATTGATTCCCTTTGGAAGACTCTCAAGGCTTGTGCAATCTCTGAGGTTCAGGTAAATAAGTTTGTTCATCTGTTTGATTGATGAGCCTAAGACAGCCAAACTTGTACAGCCTTCGAGATCCAATCTTTCAAGATTTATGGCATTGGATAAGCCTGTTAAGTTAAGCAAGCCTTTTGACTGACTGAGATCCACCCATCTTAAATTTTCTGTATTCTGTGGCACATAGACAATGATTCAATAACAGATAAGTAAGACAATTTTTTTCAGATAAGAAAATATACAGCAGAGTGTGCACCTTCTCATCATCTTCCCATAGTTGTTTGATGTGGCTATGACGCAGATTAAGATCGACAAGTTCCTCTGGATTGAATTCTGATGGCAGGTGTTCGTAAGGGTACCCCTGCCAGTGAAGGTACACAAGCTCATCCGGAAAGTGATCAAGCCCTTTGCAGGAATGAAATTTATGGTCGTTATCACACCACTGAGAACAATGAGAATTGTGGAATTTCAGGAATTTGAGATTTGACATGTTCATGAAAGCAGCAGGACTAAGCTTGATCCTTGTGATACTAGACATGTTCAAGAAGATGCCTCTAACATATTCAGTGCCCTGGTAACAAGAGAAAAATATTAAGGAACAAGAGGAGAATGAACACATCAAGTGTAGATATAATGGAGAAATGAAGAAATCTTGTAACTCACCTTGTTCTTCTCCAAGATTTTACGAACATCTTCGTGGTTCCAAAACCTACTACGTTTGCTTACCATTTTGATGGATTCATATCCGATATCCTTTCCCATTTTATGCATTAGATCATGCATCTCAAGCCGATCATAAGAAATGGTTAGTAAACACTTGTCTTCAAGATCTTTAATCAGTGTCATCACATCAGCATCGCGGTGGTCTGATTTCAAGATGCTCGAAACGAAATCTGCTTTCTCTGATTTGAAAAAACATGCTATGTCCAGAAATATCCTCTTCTGTGCAACACCCAATGCTTCATAACTCGTTTTAAGCTTTTCTTGTAGCTTTTCATCTGGCTTTTTCACTAATTTATTCCATTCATTCTTCCAATCTGTTTCATCCTTCCCAAGTAGAGCGGAACCTAACATCGTCAATGCTAACGGATGCCCTTTAGAATAATATATATACTTCATTGATAGATCGACAAATTCTTTCGGCGGGTAGAGCTGCTTATCAGAGAATGCCTTTCGGCAGAAAAGCTCCATAGCTTCAGTGTCATTTAATCTGGGAACTACATATGTTGCATCAGTGTTTTTTGAAAGCAGTTTCCTGTCTCTGGTTGTTATAACAATCCTGCTTCCTTTGTGATATGATTCGTTGTACGGTTTGTCTCCAAGAAGAGTTGTTATTTGCTCTTCTTCGGTCACATTATCCAGTACAATCAACAACTTCTTGTTTCTTACAAAGTCTTCCAATCTTACATGTGCTCTGACCTCAACATTTTCCATATCTAATAACTTACGGAAGAGTATATCGCGCAAACGTTGTAATCCACACCGCTTCACATCATTGCCAATGTCTCCAAGGATATAGTAACCATCAAATTGACTGTAGTTTCGTTTGTACACGCTATCAGCAACCGTTGTCTTGCCGATTCCAGTCATCCCAAGAACTCCGATGGTACGGACACAATTTGCATCATCAAACCTCAGTAACTCCTCCAGTTCCTTTGAACGTGATTCAATCCCCGGAAATCCAGTGGTTTCACATGGAGCCACCATATTCATTATATTGAAAGTTATTTTTTCAATAACTACACTCTCCGTCCTGCCAATTACACAAAAAGTCCGTTATATTCACAAGATTAAGGACTGCTCAATATACTAGGCCTGACCATTCAGATCAAGTTAAGGACTGAATGTTGATTTCGATATAATATGCAAGTCGAAATCAACATTCAGATCGGATCGGTTCGGTTATTTTTGTCTAGGCCTATTCTCTACTTCCCAGGAAGACAATTTTCAAATAGGCAAAGAAGCGAAATATACCTATTTCCAGGAAACACAAAGCCGACGATATCGGAAGCAATCTTGAGAGCTTCCTTCCATGCTTCAACTCTGTGACAATCTTCCTTGAAACTCTTCTCAGGTGTCAGAAAGGGAATTCCAAATTTCCCTTTCTGTTCTCCCACATCAGATGTCTTGACATAGTAGAAGATCGGTATAACCTTATGATTGAGATCCTTCTTGCACTGAATGATCTTACAGATTTCCTCCAAGCACCATGTGGAATCGGCGTAGTGCTCCGAGAAGACGACGATCGATATCTTCGATTGCTCGATCCTTTTGAAGAGAATCGAGAGATCGTAGCCTGGAAGGATTTGCGCATCGTAGAAAGCATCGATTCCTCTTCGGTTTAGGGAGTCAAGGAGGTGAGAGGTGAAGGAATTACGCGTGTCTTTGCCTCTGAAACTCACAAAAACGTCGAACTTGCGCTTGGATGGATCCAACAACGAGGAAGAAGCCATTGAAAATGATTAGAGCTATTGCTGCGATGATGATGCAGAGCTTTTGCCAAAGACTTATCTTCTCTCTGATTTGGAAGAGACGACGACTTTGAGATTTCCACACTCATTCACCACAACTTCGTTGACTTTCAAGACGACTTAGAAATTTCCACACTCGTTTAGTAGCCTTGATAGGCTTTTTCGTAAGCCCAGGAGTTTCCGGGTACATGTTTAACGGGCCGATTAATAACGACGTTGGTTTTTTTTATCGCATTGAGTTTGCAACAAGAATATAGTACATTTCGTCATTTGGTATCCTTTGTTTTGCCAAGATGTCCGTTGCTGTGTTGAGATATCTTCTAATCCATGTGACGATTTGACAGATATGCTAGTTACGTTGTTGAATCCAATTTGTAAGTTTCAAAGTTTAGACCCTCTTATATTGTTTAGAGAATTTAATCATTAGGGAATAAGTATGATGTCCAAATAGCAAACACGTTGAGATCGAAAACATGATGGTGGGACGTTTTCCGACTGATCTTCGATGTTCAAATAGGGAAAAAGAGTAGAGAGAGAACATAATATTCAAGATACTTGTTCAAAACACGTTGATTAAGATAAAGTACATTCTCTCGTCCATGTTGCTTTTTATCATCTTTTTCGTGAGTTTGTAAGAGGTACGACTGATTGGACATAAGTTTTTGAAAGAGGTAAGGAGTAGATTTAGACGTATATACCGATTTCAGATAATTATTAGATTATGTTGAGTATTTGGAAGTGTCTACGATAACATCTTATATCGAGTACTTTTTTTTTGGTAATATCGAGTGCATTTTATCAATATACCGATGAATTATTTTGTTATGATATTGGTTTTAATATAATTTGATAATGTGGACATATATTGTACTGACTTTCTTTTTGGTCAACAACCCCCGTTAAATCAAATTTGGTAGATATGAGGAATCCTTGTGGGGTGCCTCTTATCAATTCATTGCGACTTGCATTGGAAAACCAAAGAGCCTTCGTGTAGCATTCATGCGAACATTTAAGCTACATGATATGAAAGCCAACACACAAAGTTTTTTTTTTTTTTTAAAAGCATTTTTTTGTTTAGAAAAAGAAAGACAATGTTGGCCCGATGATAATCTAATTCTGTTTTGTAAGACGATCATTACATCAGGTTTCCAATCATCTTTAGGAGATCCAAAATTCGTCTCGAATTTTGCTGATAGTATGCGCTTTTTTATTAGCTAAGCCATTGTCTAGATGAGTCTATCCAACTTTGTGTGCAAGGCCGAAAGGTTTCCTCAACTCGCTTGCATTTAAGTAATAACCTATCTTATAGGTAGGGCCGGCCCTGAAAATTTAAGGACCACAAGCAAAAACAGTTTTTGGGTCAATAATAATTGATTTTTTTAAGGAAAAAAATTTAAACAAAATGATCAAAGGGTGAATCGAATCTTTCACTTTTTCATTCTTTTATGTAGCTCATAAACCAATTGATCTGAACACACTTCATGTATATTTGGACCGATAATATATATAAACAAAATACCAAAAAATTTGGGCCGCAAGCATGTGCTTACCCTGTTTGCCTTCAGGACCGGCCCTGCTTATAGGTATCACACAAATCCACTAACATGTCAATGATCCAGGACGCGTCAATTTGACAAAAAGGTAGTTTGGGGATCTTCGGATAAATCGTCTTGTTGTTGGCCTTCCTCGCCCTCCTTTTGATTTGCGGTTTTCCAACTCTCTTCTTCCAGCTTTGCTAGTTATAGGGACCCTACAGTAGGATGTCGCTGATGATACTAAAGGGTTAATCCTTTCTTACATTCCATATTATAATATAGATCATATCTTCTGTATATTAATTGAAGATACATTAAGTGAAAAAATCCAATGTGTCATTTAAAGAAGATTTTAAGAAACACATCAATTGAATTAACCAAACAAAACATTCTAATTAATTATATATGCTATGTTGGAAATCTCTACATTTTTACATTGATTTTTAATATGAACTCACAAATACATATGTTGTTAATTTAAAGGAATCCAACTAAAATATAATATTTTAGTATTTTAAACGTGATATATAATATTTTGGTGATGAATCTTTTACCTATGTCAATTAATTTATAAAAATGTATTTATGTTCATTTTAATACCATATGTGATTGATCATACAATTATTTTATTATATATCGTTTAATTGAATTCATATTACTCTAATCAAAGTTGTGTCTTTGTTATAAACATACAACTTACAAATCAAACATTAATGTTTGAACTTTGAAAATCATC